TGAGTCTGCCATCCCCAGTTAGAGCAGGGTGTTCCACATATACTATGTGCCTTACATGAATTTTTTTCCTGTAGTACACAGGTACAGCCAACATTCCTACATGCATCTCCTGTGTTACGATTGCCACCAATGCTCTTGAGCTAATTAAGTCTGAGAAAGCCCTGTGTCAGAGAATGAAAGTTCTTTCCCAAAGCAAATAATAATAATGATGATAATAATGCATTGAATAAGGAGGTTTATTCAATGCATTTCAAACGACCATTCATTTGATTAGTAATATCAAGTGGACTGTTTCTACACCACCAAGGGATCTCCAACGTATTATTTTAAAGCATGGAAACTGTATTGAAATTATTCTCTAACATCTCAGTTTCCATTTTTGAGCCATTTCTTAGCATTGAAACAGTCATCTATTAGGATTTAGTTCTTTTCTCTTTCAGCCTTCAGACAACTACTTCTAATCTTGCCATGCAAATGCAAGTGTGATCCAGCTGCTTACAATGAAGGCTGTGAAATGACCTGATTTTTTGGCAGTGATCTCATTGCCACCTGTTAATCCACACTAAAAAGAGGCTGTAATAGCTGAAGGGCACCACCACTAGCCACATCTTCAGGAATCTTAAATCTGAAGATTTAACTGTGTCTGTATTTTTGCATTTGTCTTCAACCATGAGACAGAGATATTCAAGCAGCTTTATTTCAGAGTTCCCAACTCACCCTGAAAGGCAGTGGGAACTAGTTCCTAGCCATTATTTTTTCCTTTAAAACCCTTACTTGATAACTTTAAGGCATAGTGATGAAGAAGCTGTTCATTGTGGCTTTCTTGGCTATACTTGTTCTATGAATAAAATGTTCTATTCATGAGGACAAAGAAGAATTTGAAAATATTTTAAATAAATGAATTGAGCAAACTGAAATTATGAAAGTCAAACCCCAGAATAGGCTGGGGAATGGAATATAGATAAGAACTGGAATTGAACTCCACAGATTTGTTTTCTTTTTTTCAGCTTCTTCACAGCTTTGCAGGAGAGGCATTAAGCAAGTCGACCACAGAAGAAATTTGCCTGGCTTTGAAAGCCCTTGGAAATGTAGGACATCCAGCCAGCATCAAGCACATCAAGAAGTTTTTGCCAGGATATGCAGCTGGTGCCTCAGATTTGCCACTCAAGGTCCATGCAACTGCTGTGTTGGCCCTGAAAAACATTGGCCTGAAAGACCCAAAAATGGTAAGGAAATAAATCTGCCTCCTTTGCCCTAGTGGCTTTCACTTGCAAGGCTGCTAATAGATGGTGGCTGATAAGGGGAAAAGAGATCTTTCTTCAAATTCAGCATAATTTATTTTTTAAAAAACACTTAGCCATTCCTTGGTTGGCATGTCTTATTTCTTTTGACATTAACCTCCAGTATTTCAGTCTGCAACAAAATATCCTATTGAAAGGATACATTCATTGTTGTTGAAGACAAATCAGTATTTCCATCACAAACATTTAGTTTCCAAGGACATTAGACAGAAAACTAAATTATTGAGCAAAATACATTTAGAACTACTTCACCTTTGGTATGTGAGAGAACCACAAAACAAGGTTTTCAGAGAATTGACATTTAATACTGAGTGTCACGTCTGCTTGTAATTCAAGACCAGATCTTATTGTAAATAGATACTAGAGGTTTGCATCCTAATTACAAATTTACAGACATTGTGTGGGTTTAAGTCATAAACAGAGCATTTACTAAATGTGACTTTTGTCCCTGGCCAAGAAAATGATTAGATCACACATGCAAGGGCTACACCAGCATACTTTCATCCACCACAGTCATCACTTTACAGTCATTTTCACCTTAAAGCAATCCATTTCTAAAAGGAAACCTTTAGAAGGTTTTCAAGATTTTTTTCCTGGTGTTGAATATTTTTTATGTAAATCAATTCTTAATACAGAAAGTAAAATAAAAGATTTCATTAACTATTTGCTTACTAATCTCTATCTGTTTTCCATTATACTCATTTTTTCATGTGACTCCCAGTCTGAGTGCACATATTGATCCACAGACAACAGTGTGCTAGGGTATGCTTTAAAGCAAAACAATAAAGAAACAATTTACTAGAGTGCAGGAGCTGGATGGGGAAAAGCAAGGGGGAAGGAGTGAATAGCAAGGGTAGGAGTTAGGGTATTTGCTGCAGAAGCAAAAAGCTGATTTGGTGTCTGGAAACAATGCCATGTCTTTGATTGCTCTTTGGCCTGACTTTCCACATGTGAGTCAGATCACTCTTTAGTTCCATTTTCTTTGCAGAAAATTAATCTGGAGTGAGTTCATGACTGGAATGATTTTTTTCATTGTTCAAAAACCAATTTAATATCTGGTTTCCAGCTAGGTACACACACATGTTTGCATTAAACAGACTTAATTCATAGCCTGTCATTTTGTTGTTTAGTTTGAAAAGGCAGTTGCATTTAGAAAGAGGCTACTGCATCTTTATCACTGCTTTTATGCTTGTATTTGATAATCAATATTCAACATATTCAAACATAGCATATTATTATATAACATATTCAAATTAATTAAACTAATCAGGGTCTTTACAAAGTTTATTGAAGTTTTTTGGATCATTCTTCATTAGAACGCATGTATGTTCACTCTCCCCGGCAGGACAGGACTGTGCAGAGGGCTTGCCAGAACAGTGGCACACCATCCACATCCATTTTAAAGCTAGAGCCAAAGGCTTTGGTGCCACTTATGGAAACTGAAAAGGATCCAGTATAAAATTAGTCTTGACACTGAATATTGCTGAGATCAAACACATTGGTCACAAGTAGCACTGTGGAAATTGCAGCTGTTGCATAAAATTTTGGTTTAAGCTCCCTACATGGCCATAGAGATTTCTGGTAGCAACCTGTGTTTTATTTATTTTATTTTTATTCTATTATTTAGCAGAAAGGGCCCCAGGAGATCAAATGTTTAGAAGTAAGTCATACCTTTATAAGCAGGGATAAGTGATCAATGAAATCACTTGTCAGGTATGTAATGGATCCCTGAAATCTTTCACCTACTGTGGTATAGCTCAAAAAGGGATAACAGACTTAATGTAGAAGTTGCCCAGTGAAATTCCTTGGCTTTGATTGTTTAGAAAGTCAGACTACTTTACCATAATGCCCCTTCCAGCACTCAGACTATGAAATCAGAAGCACTGTTGTCATAATGATTAATACAAATTTTTACTGCACTAGTGATGAAGCGATCATTCACTGGTGTTGAATGGTTATTAGCAGTATGTTTGAACATACCATAAATCTGAATATATCTACTATTTTCAGGTCCAGGCTATTACCCTTGAGATTTTCCTGAATCACAAAATTCATCCTCGGGTCCGAATGTTAGCTGCGGTGGTTTTGCTTGAAACCAAGCCAAGTCTTCCAATAGTAATGACATTAGCTGATGCTGTGCTGAAGGAACCTAGCATGCAAGTGGCAAGTTTCATCTACTCTCACTTGAGGGCCCTGGGCAGAAGCACAGCTCCAGATCTTCAAGTGATGTAAGGAAAATCTGGACCCCTTTCTTAGAAGAAAAACTTGTTGCAAATTAATTGAGGTGTTAATGTGCTCACCAATTTTTTTCAGGGCTTCTGCCTGCAGAATGGCTATCAGAGCATTAAGTCCCAAATTTGACAGATCTGGGTATCGGTTCAGCAAAAAAAATTTAAAGGTGAGATTCAGAAGATTTTGTAGAGAAATATGTGAATGTGTGAAAAAAATTGTACAGCATAAGAACCTAATTCTCCTAGCCAGCTGCACGTTGTTCCTCCATATTCGCTGATGTTCAGTGGGGAAAAAAAACAAAACAACTAATCTCAGGTTTTCCATTTGAAGAGTATTTAGGTCCCTGTGTGGTTTGCATTGTACACCAACAGCAAGAAATTACCAGAGGGCTTGTGGGGCTCTAACCCTCCATTTTTATTAGCCAGTGAGGCACAGGCTCCTGTATCAAATGCCATAGTCTCAGTGGTGCTTAACAATTTCATAGCATTATTCAGCACCAAACAAACAGAAAGGACCTAAATGCTGAAGTGGATTCATTTCTACCAGTGTTGAGCACCTACAACCCCTGCTGAATTCAAATGTGATGCTAATTACTCTTCACCCCAACTGTTGTGCCCAGTGAGACAGCAAACTCTGAAAACATTCAGATGTGACAATTCATTGCACTCATGACCAGCTACCTCAGGCTTATTGTCTAAAGAATTTTCTTGCATCTTCCTACCAGGAGTCTTTACTGGAATGAGCAGATCCATGCATGGGATCTGGAGGCTGACCAGTTAGATCAATAGGACTTGAACATAAAAATGTAGTCAAAGCAGGGAGGACCAGATTAGAAGGCAGGTCTTGCTGGCTCAAATTGTAGCTGCTGCTATTTTCCATGTATGTTTTTTTTCTCAGTAGATTTTTAAACAACTCCTCTGTGTAAGTGACCATGACAGCCTAAGTGATTTGGCATATGTAGCTAGCAGACTAGGGAGATTATATCTTCAAACACAGTCTCCTTACACATGCTGTTTATCTATCAGGAGTTGGATGTTTTTAGCACTTTTGCTATTCACTGGTACATGTAAAGACTCTTTTCAAAGCAATCAATAGAAAAAGAGACTCTGAACCATCTGAAATCCACAGTGCTGGGTGTAAAAGTACTTCTGCCTGTTGGGTTTGGAGGTAGGGATGTGGTTTAAAGGACTTTTATAGATCTTATTACATGTCCTGTCTGAGTTTTGTAGGTTTTATATGACCATTTAATCTGGTCTACAATAGAAAAAATATAATACATACTGCAACAACCATGGTAATATACAATAGATGTGCTTTCTGCCTCAGTGATGGAGACAGAGTGCCCAAAGAAATACAGTCACTAATATGCACTGTGTGAACTTTTGTACTATTTAAAATACATTCAAAGATAGATACTTTTTCCATTAATAGCCAGATATGCATTTCTTGTTTTAATCACACCTTTTGTCTTCTTATTTTTGCTTTTGAAATGAAGCCATCTGAATTTTCACACAGAGAGAAAGAAGGGTGCAGTATGCATGAGGGAACCTGGCAGGGGGCCATGTGAAATGTAGTACTTTATTCTGGCTGTAGCCTGGAAATGCAGCACATCAGGGGATTGTTGTTACTTCTCAGTGAAGACCATTGTCAGAAACTTGGTTGCCATTCATATGTAGGATCTAAACCTCTCATCCTGAAGAATAAAGAGCAAGATCCTTGTCTCACTCATGCTAATCTTAGCCTTGGATAATGCAATTAAATTAAATCAATCTCCCACTACACTGGTATGGGAAGAAGATCCATTCTCCAGCATTATGATTTGATTTGTCACCACTAGCCACAGGTGAAATGTGTTTCAGTGAATCCATTCTGGAGGAGTTACCATAGTGACGGCTGTAATGCAGTACCTATTTCCTTGATAAAAACAAAAATCTGCCCTCAGCATCACAGATCTTTGTGGTGCTAGATGCTGAATTTTTAATGGCAGGCAATAATGTCAGCTGCATCTATCTCTAATCTGGCATCTGTCACACACGGCCACCACAAATAGTGCTTCGTGCTCTACACACTGCCACTGAAATCAAAGGGGTGATCCAAGTTCTGTTCAATGCTAGGTCTGAGAGAATCTGACTCTCAATATGCAGAGATTCATATCACTAAATATGTGTACTAATGTTCATAGGTACCAAAGACTGCTTTCTTTGATCACTAGGGGTTTTTTCGCTCATCTTTGGGGCAAGACATTTAGACATATATATGCAGATGCCTTCACACTCTCACAGTGAAGTGGCAAATATTTTCTTATAACCTTATCATTCAAGTGCAAGGTGCTGCACCTGTGTCAGGGCAACCTTCAGTATCAATACAGGCTGAGAGTCAAAGAGATCAAGAGCAACCCTGCCAAGAAGGACTCAAGGGTACTAGTAGATAACAGACTGGAGAAGAGCTGGCACTTGCAGCCCAGAAAGCCAATTGTGTCCTGGACTGCATTGAAAGCAGCATGGCGAGCAGGGCAAGGGAGGTGATTCTTCCTCTACTCTGCTCTTGTGAAACCCCACCTTGAGTACTGCATCCAGCTCTGGGGTCACCAGCACAGGAAAAACACTGACCTGTTTGAGTGAGGCCAAATGAGGGTCATCAAGATGATTAGATGGATGGAGCACTTCTATGAGGAAAGGGTAAGAGAATTAGGATTTTTCTGACTGGAGAAGAAAGGCTTTGGGGGTGACCTAATTGCTGCCTTCTAGTACCTGAAGGGAGCTTACAAGAGAGCTGGAGAGATACTTTACACAAGGGCATGGAGTGATAGGACAGTGCCTTCAAACTGAAAGAGAGTAGGTTTAGATTAGATGTTATGAAGAAATTCTTTACCATGAAGGTGATGAGACACTGGAACAGGTTGCTGAGAGTAGTTGTGGATGCCCCATCCCTGTAAGCATTTGTCAAGGCCAGACTGGATGGGGCATTGAGCAGCCTGGTCTAGTGGAACGTGTCCCTGCCCATGGCAGGGATGTTGGAGCTAGATGATATGATTCTATGATATAACAGATGCAACAGAAAAATAAGAAAGCATAATCGCCATGCAATGACCAGGGAGCTCGTAACTTTGCCCATTATTAGTTAAAAAATGCAGAACATTCTGTTTGTAACTGGTTTATGACATCAATTTTAAAGTTGGGTATTTTCTGGCTTTGCTCATATCATGCTGTAACAGTTGAATTATGAAACAAGTAAATAGATACAACCTGCACACTGTCACTTTAAAAACTAACTGTGCTGTTTCCTCCTATTTTTCTTCAGAGTTCCTTATGAGTGGTCTGGCAGCTAAATATTTGGTATTGAATAATGCAGGTAGCTTAATTCCAACAATGGCAATGTCCCAGCTGCGGACACATTTTCTTGGAAGAGTGGCTGATCCCTTGGAGGTAATTGAGTTTGCCCTCTCATTCCTTCTTACAACCATCATCCAATTTGCATTTACATTTTACTTCTTCCCACAGGTGGGAATAACAGTTGAAGGACTGCAGGAGATTTTTGCTAAAGGTTACTCTCCTGACAGGGACTGGGAGACTGAGTATGACTTCAAGAAAATCCTGAAAACGGTAAATTCTGGGGAAAAAGAAAAATCTCTAAGATACTGCTTCCTCAAATGAAGCAAATGAAGAATTAGACTTTTGTCCTCTTCTCACGCAGCTCTCTGACTGGAAGGCATTCTCCAGTGATAAACCTTTTGCATCAGGCTACTTGAAGATGTTTGGACAAGAGTTGTTCTTTGGTGGACTTGATAAAAATGCCATCCAAAATGCACTGCAGGTATCATTTTGAAAACAACACTACTCAAGTATCAAAACCTTTAAAATACTGTTTCTTTCACACATTCTCTCCTTATTTTTAACTTTCTTATTCAAGATTGGGTTTTTGTCTTTAGTATTAATCAAGGCAAATAAGGTCAACTTTGATCAAGATTAGTTATAATAACTGCTGGCAGAGTTTCTCCTGAGGCACAGTTACTAACTCAGATCATGATATTCAAGTTCTGCTTATTTAGACATGTTGAACTCTGTAATTTCAGGCATGGTATGGATATGATGATAAAATCCCATCGCTAAGAAGAATAATCAGTAGCCTTCAAAGTGGTGTAGGGAGGCAGTGGACGAAGGCTTTCCTGTCCTCTGAGATCCGTCGCATTGTGCCCACCTGCACTGGGTTCCCAACAGAGACTAGCTTCTATTACTCTTCTATCACAAAAGTGGCAGGAAATGGTAATATATCTCAAGAATTGAGCAATACAAACATGCTTGCCAGTACTGGAAGGCATTTTTAACGCTTTCTTTGCTTTCTTTGTAATAGTTCAAGCACAGATTACACCCTCTCCAAAGTCTGATTTCAGATTGACTGAGTTACTAAATGCCAACATTAGACTGCGATCCAAAACGAGTCTAAGGTAAATATTTAGTGTAAAATAAAAGAATAATATTTTCAAGTGACAGAGACCATAAAAATTCAACAGCTGTTTGCTGCTTGAACATAATTATATCCTCATTCTACCTTTCAGCATGGCCAAGGAGATTACCTTTGTAATGGGAATCAACACACGTACAATCCAGGCAGGGCTGGAAGCACACACTAAAATTAATGCTCATGTACCTGTGAATGTTGTTGCCACTGTCCATATGAAGGAAAAAAATATCAAAATTGAAATTCCACCATGTAAAGAAGAGACTAACATAATTAGTGCAAGGTAAGACATAGCACTTACTTAATATGCTTCTATGTAACTAAGCAGAGTCATTCTACATAAACCAGAATATTTGCTTAGGGATCTTGTCTTTGACTTACAGCTTGGATAACTGACAATGACTGGTGTAGTTTATTTATTTTAAATGAAGTGACATGCACCAAAGTTTTGCTTGAAAATGTGTTACTTCCTGTTGTCTTCATCTGAAAAACCTCCTTAGGACCATATCTCAGTTGTTGAGAACCATAAGCTATTTGAAACACAAATGACATGAAATTTCTACCCTGATACAAATACTTGAACTGGAGACACTGGGTACAAAATAAGCCACCAGACTCCTACCATTTAGAACAGAAAACCCATCTATACTTGCTTTGATGCCTTGAAGCATAGATGATTTAGTGGTTTTTTGGGGTTTTACCTTGTCTCCCTGTGGCTGCCATTTGGTTTTCTTACCTGTTAGGTCTACTTGATTTATTATCAGTGCATGCAATTACAATACACTGGAAAACTGTTGTAGCCAGATGCCAAACAAATGAAAACAGATGGAAATACAAGCACAAAGAGAGGGAGGAAACAGAAAGAGTATGTCCAAGGAACCAAAGCGGTAGACCAAAACTTCAAAAACCTTTACACACACACACACACATGAAAAAAAACCTCAGAAAGGCAAGCTGAAAATTCATCACAAAGGAAAAAGCATCACTGACAACAGAAATTGGCTATTATACAATTTGCTGAAATGTTAACAAGTTTCAGCTCTAGGAATACAGCCGTAACAAAAGAGCTCAGTTGCTTGATCCAGCTGCAATTAGCATTCATGGCTGATGGCCCAGAAACACTCTGCAGGTCTCCTAAGTTTAACCACCAGTTAGGCTAATCATTATTCTCCGTTGCCCTTCAATGGTCACAGACCATTTGAAACGCATTTGACATCACATCCTCCTCCCTAAGACAATTCCTTCACTACATCAAGTGTGATTGTAATAAGGTTCTCTGTGCAGAGGAGGGAGGGTTTCAGCAGTTCATAGAGAAAAAGTTAGCTGCATGTTTTGTTTGGTTCAGTTTCCTGTGTAGGCCAGGCCAGTCTGCTCCCAAGGTCATCAGGGACAGCAGGTACCCACTCTCACTAGCTCTCACTGTTGGAGAAGGTGGGGTGAATATTAATGAACTCAATAAAGATGCTGAAATGAAATGAGAATATTGGACAATGAGTTTACAGCCTCAAGTAAAGCTACAAATGTTAGCAGAAGGATCCTCCCTACAAAGCAAAATCAAAAATATTTTCTTCCTTTGACTTAAGGGGAAATTAAGTCATACACAAAAAAGGGTTAAATGCATTTCCAGAAAACAGAACTCAAGTCAGTATCAGACATAAGGGATTACAGCAGAGGATCCCAGGAGTTCCAGTCCAATCCTTGCTCTAGGCCCTGCAGCACTACCATTTATAGTGTGGTCACTTGGAAACAGTTCTATAACACGAAGTATATGAGAAAGCTAATACTCACTAGCTAACTTTTAGCACCATCAATTTCTCCCCAAAAAGCATTCCCATTCACCATTACAAAGCAAATGGTCAGTGGAAACCACACAGAGCAATGAAACAGCAATGAGCACAAGTGAAGGCAAAGCAATAACTAGAGAATGTAACACTGAACTGCATTACTGAGGAGGTCAAAGATCAAGCAAAGTAAAATCTTACAGGTATGAAGAAAAACAAGCAGGCATGATGGAAAGAGAAAGGAGATATATATATTCTATATAGAATGAGTCAAAAAATTTAGTTCAACATAGTGTTTCTCTTTATTTTGCATAGATCTAAAAGAACTAATTGAATTAAATATTGTAGAGGTATTCTGACACCTTCCCTTCTCAGTTTTAAATTCCCCCATTTAAAGAAAAAGTTTTAGAAAGCTATTGCTCTTTCATTTGTTTGTGAGCTATGTTCAAAATATTTTGGTATTGGCCACTTTGTCTTGATGGTCAGTGGGTTACTATAGTACATGTCATTAAAGTTGGGCAGGATGTGATATTATTTTCCCCTTCATCTCTCACATCCAGACATAGGAAGCAAAGTCTTCAATGGCATTAAGTTCAGTTATAGCCTACACACCATACAGGTTATACCCTGTCACAGCAGTAGGATTTATATAAATTTTCAGGAGCCAAACAAAAACTCAGGTGAGTGATCATGGACTCCAATCTAAAAAAAAAAAAAGGAAACTTTGGTCATAGAGAGATTGCATTCCCAAGACAAATCAGCACATTATGGACTCAAGTCTCTCTATAGCAAAAATCAGAGCAAAATAATTAATTGTACCTTGGAGAGAATATATAGCATGTGTTTCAATTTGATCTTATCAAAGTTAAATTAAATTAAAAATAATGGTCATTTTTAAGGTTCTTTTAACATAATTATTTAGTATACTACAGATGGCTACTTAAACATACTTTTAAACAAATTCTATAAGAAGAAGTGAAAATCAAACAAATTTCAGGGGAAATTAGAGCCCTGTGATTAAAGTATAAATGTGGAGAGCTGCCAGAGAATACACTTCACTAATAGATCACATATTCATAATGACAGGCTACTGAAGTATATACATAATCTTGAATAGGGCTTGTATCATATGGCTTTTCTGCTTGCTTTAACCGTAGGATAAGCAGAAATTGCTTTGCATGGACATATTTTTTATAAGATGAATTAGGAAATTACAGCATTTTGTCCAACATGTATAGAGCATGTGTAGCAGAATATGCAGAAGAGCCAGTGTACACTATTAGCTCGCGAGGCAGCACAGCATGTGTAGGGGCAGAGAAGGGAAACAGCTGGTGCTCCAAGTCTCTGTTTATGGAACACCTTTGCACCAAGTAGGAAGGAAGATGCTTAGGAAAGGCAGAATTTTCTCTTTCACCACAGCAGAAAGAAAGCTAAAAACCTGTCTGGATGATTGTGTCTTGCTTCTCATTTATTTAGATGTGATGTCATGCTGTGCTTTAAAACCTGGGGAAATAGGGTTTTTTATTGATTGTTTTTTGTTTTAAACAGACATTGAGCTCTTCTGTCCCCACGTTAGGGATGTAAGGACACACTCTGAAACATCAGTGGGCCCAACACAGCTGAATTACTTGTCCCTTACCCCTGCAGTGAATTTGGCTTATATTATAGCACAGCTTCTTCTCTCATCCAAAAAATGCACTAATACATATTGGAAATTCTCCTTTTTATTTTTTTCTCCCTTGTGTGGGATCAGAGAGAACAGATTCTTTCATACCATAGCTTTAGGCCTTCTTTGTGACTGTTTTTTCTTGTTAAAGCACTAGAGCTGGCTCTTGTAGCCTATTTTTACTGTGCCGTGTGATTCTGCAGACATTGACATGTGTCACCTGTGATGCAGCTACATTTGTCGGCTCTCTGTGCTCAACAGGGAGGAATCGATCCTCTGCTTTCATTAGGTGGCAGGAGTAGACTATTGGCATAAAAATACTAAAAAAAAATGGAAAAGAAACCCCAGGGCTTTCTGCTTGGAGACTGAGCCTGCAGTTCAGTGGTCATTTGAATTATTGAATGGGATTAAAATAAAACCATTTCCCTTTTTGTCTCTTTACCCAGATGAGCCATCTGAAATGCAAGTTGATTTGTATTTTCTTTTATCCTCTCAGCTTGTTAGGGAGAATATTTTATTTCAGATTCCATTCTTCAAGGTTCTCCTATCACCCAGCGTGGAGCGTTGCTGTCATGTCCTTATCTAAAAAAAGAGAGAGATGGAAAAGAAAACAAAGCCCACAGGTGACATACGTTTTATTGAGGTGTTCCACATGAAGAGCAATTGTGTGCTTTACAGTGCACATAGCACGGTAGGAGCCTTCAAGAGGAAGAGAGGGCTGTCAAATGAATACAAATTCATCTTTCAAATAGGTTAGATTGGAATTGCTTAGGCTAGTATGGTGTGGACCGTATTAAAATAGAGACCATTTTGAGACCATCTTTCCATTCACCGTCACAGCAGTCACCTCCATTGGCAGGCCACGAAAGCCCCAGGGCAAGCAGAGCAGCTTCATACTTGAGAAACAGCACATGGGGAATTTTGAGCCGGATGTTAGTGCTGATAAATGGCTAATAAGGTAGAGTTAGCACAGTGTTAATAGCTGAAGGAAATAGGTTTTCATCTCACAAAACTGTTCAGCATTCGAGGTGTTCCTCTGACCCAAAACAAAACTCGGTTATTACATCACTGTGAAAACTTCCATAAAGAATATGGGGTATAGAGCCAGGGCACCAGGATATGTAGCCATGACAGTCTCAGTCTCATGCTGCACCTTATATCACTTATCCTGAATCCTGACTAATACACTTAGAGTTCACAACACCAGAAACCATGTACTGAGCACATTTACGTAAATACGCTCTTGACCTTCCTACATGTCTCCCTCTGATGTCTTGCCAAGCCATGGCCAGGCCATGAATACCAGCAAATTTAAATCAAATTGGAGACACTTTGATGATTTCAGGCTCCTTTCTTCAACTCTGCTTTAATAAAAATTTCATGGGAAACAGCATTCAGTAGCCACCAGTCCCCAGGTTGTTATTTGAAGTTATGACAGTATTTTCCCAAATATAAGGTCAAAAGAAATTAGAACCAAGTGTAGTGCAGTGAATACACAGAAGATGACTTTAAAAATTTAAAAGTCCAGAAGATCAAAATAAGAGACTCAAAAATATAATAATGTAGTCTGCAGCCAGGCTTCTAAGTAACTGCGCTGTTGTTCAAGGTGTTAGGCTATGGAGATCAGACCATCTGCAATGCTTTTAACCCATACACATGATTCTAAAAGCCTAACTGAGCTATCTGCCCCTGAGATTTTTCTGTGTCTTTATTTACTCTTAGCAGTGCTTGAAAGCACAGCTAATAGGAAGGATGCTGTAAATATCTGTAAAGCGATTTGCAAGGTATGATACATGTTGCTGGATACGTGCTACAAGACATTATTTGGGTCTTTTCCTCAGCAGTGCTTTATCAATACAGGTTCCCTCTAATGTTTATTCTGCAGGTCTAAGACATTTGCTGTTACACGAAATATTGGGGATTTGGCTGCTAGTAAGATGACTCCAGTTCTTTTACCTGAAGCAGTGCCCGACATAATGAAGATGTCTTTCGATTCCGATTCTGCATCAGGCGAGACTGATAACATCAGGGTAAATGATGTAGTGTCTGACTATTCTTTTTTTTGGCTTTTAATCAGTAGGGGACCATTTCTTTTCTCCATAGGAAAAGGTGCAATTCATCTCTGACCAATGTTGCTTCACTCAAAATAAGTCAGGTTCGATCTAATAACACAAATAGCCCTATAGTAACGTTATTTTAAAATCTGGAGTGTAATACATCAGAGTTGCAACATTTTTCTAAAGCAAAAACATTTTCTTTGGTAATTAATTTTACACTGCCATCTACAGGATAGGCCCACAATCTTTAAAATGCTTTGCAACAATTATGCAAGCATCACATTCCTGGAGCAGTCGCAAATGTTCCACTGCTCAACTTGTAGAGACAAATCTAACGCTTATAAACATCCTGATTCAAGGATGCATGGCAGTTTGTGTGTCATGTCTGATGAATTTCTGAGCCAGGTTTCCATAAAAGCCAGTATAGGCTTTCTAAGATGGGCAGTGTTATGAAGGCACCTCTGTGACAATTCATTCAGTGCAAGACTGACAGAGGCAAGGAATAGACTGTACCATTCTGGTTTCATTGTTGTCCTGCAACTCTGTAGGGTTTTCAGATAAAATAAGAGATGAACAGAGGATGAGTACAGCACTTGCTTATGAAGAAGCCAATAGACAAATGTGCTATCAGTGAGAGCAGTTTCCAATGTCCTGGAACAAGCTACATTCTTCTGCTTTGTGCCTCTGTGATGCCCTTCCTGAAAACTCAGCAGTCCACAATTATTCTAAAATGAACAGCAACTGGAAAAGGGCACTGACTGGTGCATTTCCCAATATCATTAGAAATTTTATTTTTGGTGGGGTTCATGCAAGTTTGGAATCTTGTGAGACATGTTAAACTGAGTAAGAAATTAATTGCAAACCTGAATTACACATGAAATGAAAGCTTATGATTATGTGTCTTTAAGTATTTGCTTCATTGCTTCAGGAAATCATAGTTTTCATTGCATGGATTTGATTCCAATTTTAATTAATTTTAATTTGTTCTTCTGCAAGCATTGCTTAACACATGTAAATTGCATAGTCTTTAGTGGAAATTTCTAATATATGATATGTTTTGACCATCTAATTGGTATAGTATCACATTCATGTTGGACCTCAACTGAGAATTTTTGCAGGCATAGTTGAAAATTTGACTAAATCAAAAAACAAAGGTAAAAACTGCAGTCAGTCTAGAGCACATTCAGTTTTATCAAGAACCTGTTAACACTGTCTAATACTCCAGGAAAACAAAATTAAATATTTAGAATTAATTCATGATATAATTTTCCATTCTTATAGCTTGAAACTCATTTTACACTAAAGTCTAATCGACCTATTCAGATGATAATTTTGTCCAATTTAAAACTAAGCTGTCCTATATCACAGCCTTGCTATCTCAAACAAACTGGTTAATTCCTCCAGCATAGTACATGTAACCATTACCAAAACAGGATGCATAACATGCAAGCATTCCTCTTACTGTTGTCCAGCTTAACTTGACATGTGTGCTATCTAATAGGACAGACAATCTGCAGAGGACATTTCATCGGAAAATTTCTTTTCTTTGGGACAATCTTCTTCCCGAAAAGAGCCATTTGTTCAGTCTGTGTGCTCCAATGCAAGTACATTTGGGGTTCAAGTGTGCATTGAGAGGAAAAGTGTACATGCAGCATTTATCAAAAATGTGCCTCTTTATTACCTAGTTGGAGAACATGCCCTGAGACTGAGTTTCAAGCCAGGTAAATACAACCGTGCTCAAAAAAGAAAATAATGGGTGTGTGGGTGGCTAGGTAGGTGTGTGTATATACATATATATATGTACACTAATATTTCTTGCATCTCAGGTACCACTAAAACTACCATTAGATGTGCCAGGCCTGCCAGTACTGGCAACAGACTACACTCGCAGCAGG